GAATGAAGTTCTGCTTTATCCATTTCATAAGGCTGTTAGCTGCCACCTGTTTAGATCTTTCCTTTTACTAGCCAGTATGCTAAAAATTTGGTCCCTGTCTTATGCATTTCATAGAGTAATGGTGTAGTGAAGGGTTTTAAATCCAATTTCATAAATGGAAAAGCTGCAGTTGAGAGGAGAGAGACAACATCCTTAAGATCAAACGAGTTGAATGGCGGACACTGCTTCAGAAGGTGACGAAACCTTATTCTTTAGTGTTTCTTTCATCGCCTTGTACTGTGGGGGAATGTCACAACAGATGGATCTGTCTCAATGGCCAGATGTTTCTCTTGCTCTCTGGCCTTAAAGTGGCCTTTGTGCATATTCCTGATGGTACAGTTCCTGCTAATGTGTAAAGTAGAGGAGTCATAGGGTAGTTCCTGGTGCCAAGTTATTAAGAAGATAAAGTCGGACAACCTCAAGCAGTGCGCTTGATAGCCCCTAGGCAAGAGGTACACTAGCTACGGCACGTGGATATATGTGTGCTCAAAACTCCTACAGTCTAAGCATCAAGAAAAGTTAGGTCTCAATGGAAAACTCACAAGCAAATTTCTAAATGTTCATTAGTGACTATGTTTATCACCCACATTCCAAAGCATCAGCTTGAATTTGATACCAGGGAAGGAGGATCAAGAAGTGAAAATCCAAGTAACATAAAACGAACAACCTGTGGAAACTCCCTGAAACCAAGTCTGGAACACAGACTGTCCCAGTTAAGGAGCTAATTCTAAACTAGTTGAATTTCTCGGGCAGGGTTTCTTTGCTTCCTAAGCCTTGATGCTGAACAAATAGTGAAGAGAAAGTACAGTGTGTTTTGGCTTTTCTGTTTGACCTTTCCAAAATTCTAATTAAAGATATTGCATATTCTCTATTTACTGACCCTTCTTGGGTTTTTTTTTTTTTTTGTTTTTTTGGATTAAGATTTTTTTTGGGGGGGGGGCGGGGGAAGAAGGGAGGGCTGTACACCCAGCAGAGCTTAGGGATTACTCCTGGCTCTGTGCTCAGGAGTCACTTCTGGCAAGGTGTGGGGAACTATATCTGGTGCCAGGGAGCAAATCCAGGCAAACGTGCAGGGCAAATGCCCTACTCCACTGTATTAGCTTTCCAGCTATGGTCATTCAGCAATAATTGGTTCCCCAAAGATTCACATCACATGTGTCTAGATTCAAGTAATGACAAATGGCTTTTGTAGATGACTCTGCAATTGAGAGTGATCATTTTCTCTTTTTTGACTTTCCATGTGCAGAAAGTATGAACCTTACCATAGTCTGCCGCTACATATTTACGGAAGTGCTTGTTTATATATGTTTTTTGAAATATTGCTCTTGAAGAAGATGCTTATTTAAATAAATAAGAAAAGTTTATACTTTTTTGCCACCCTTTTGGTATGGGTCTTTGGGATTTTAACAACAAATTGTGCTTTAATAGCGTGTCTCAGAGGAAAACTGAAAAGAGAAAAAGAATTTAGATGAACAAAATGGATGCGTATCTGAAATTGAGAGCAGTTACTAAAAGTTCAGATTGGAATCCTATTTTTAACTCCTTTTGGTCTTTATCTGTCATGCATTTCACAAAGGAACTTGAATATCTTTCCCCCTCACTCCTTACTCCTTGTTTTTATGCAGAGACGCGTACTGCAGTAAGACCTTCACTTTGGTGACAGGAAGCTTATAAAATTGCAATTATATTATAAGAATTGAACTCAGAAAGAGCAGCTTCCTACATGCCATCTAAGCAGTCTCTGTTTTTCACATATTATTTTGATTCAACGGCTTGGACGGTTAGACCTTTCAGCTCACATTGGTGGCTACTCTCCTGCCTTGAATTCAGTGACTAAGATCAAAGCAATTTACAAAAATTTTGATCATTATAAATACTGGATAGGAATGTAATAAATGCTGAGTTGAACAAAGTTTTGATACAAATTTGGCTTCAGAGTAACTGTATAATCCTATTCAGGAAACCTAGAAACCTTTCATATTTTGCTTCAGAATCCCATGAAATGTAAACCAGGTATCAGTGGATCCCTAAACCATGTGCTTAGGTATGTTTTCAAGTGAGCAAGAGAAATAATTCAAGAAAATGCACTTAAACTTTGTAGAGGAAAATAGTAATACCAATCTGAATTTAGTAATAATAATAATAATCATAATAATAATGTATTAGACAACTGCTTTCTTTTGGACTGGATCCGTGTTTGATGTTATTGTTTGGGTCAAGCATCTTTTAGCCTAATTTGAATCTATCTCTAACCTGTAATTAAAAACAATAGGAAAGCAGGTGCTTCACTATTATTATTATTATTATTATTAGTAGTAGTAGTAGTAGTAGTAGTAGTAGTTTTTTCTTTTTGGATCACACTAGGCAATGCTCAGGGGCTACTCCTGGCTCTGCGCTCGGGTCAGGAAGTACCACTGACAGTGCTTGGGGGACCATGTGGGATGCAAAGGATCAAACCCAGGTCAGCTGCATGCAAGGTAAACGCCCTACCCGCTGTACTATCACTTTAGCCCCCCAAACAGATGCCTTTCAAGCATTCTTATTTCACTGATAAAAGGCAGGTCTTGTGGTTGGCTAGTTTTAACAATCCCAGACCCTTTAAAGATCAGCATGGATTCCAACTGAGAAAAACTGATTCAACCTAAGTATTTTCTCCCCTTTAATGTTGTTGTTTTAGTATTGGTGTCAAACCCAATGGTGCTCAGGGGATACTCCTTCTCAGAAGATACTCCTGCTCAGAGGTTACCCTCAGCAATGCCTGGGGGTCAGGCAGTGTCAGAGATGGATTTCATCCTTCCTTCCCAGCATGTGCTCAGTTCATTGAGCTCCCTCTCCATTTTGTCTCTATTTTTTGACAACATTTTTATTTTTCAGCTTTATTGAATGATTGATAAATAAAATAAAATGAAAATATAGCAAAGCATATGCAATGTGATAGTTTGATATGTACTTTGTAAAAGGATTCCTACTATCAAGTCAATATATATATATATATATATATATATCACCTTATTTATTTATCTAAATTTTTTTGGTGAGAACACTTATGTTCTGTTCTCAAAGCCAATTTCACTTAAAAATAAAACATGTATTGTTGGGACCAGAGAGATAATACGGTAGATAAAGCACTTACCTTGCATGCGGCCAACCCTAATTCCATATGTGCACCACATATGGTGTCTCTGAGCACCACCATGAGTGAGTCCCAAGCACAGAATCATGAGTAAGCCCTGAGTGCTGACAGGAGTGGCTCACTCCTCCCCCAAATAAATAAATAGATACAAGAGGTATTTGTCGTCAACAATAGTCACCATATTTTACATTAGATCCTCCTCACACCTCTAATTATTGGAAGTTTATAGTCTTCTCTCAGCCTGTCCATATATCTCCCTCCACCAAGCCCCTTGCAAATACCAGTCCACTGTTTTTACTCCCCCTTCTTCCTATTCCACCTGTAAGGGATATCGTAGTATTTGTTTTTTTCTGTCTGGTTTATCTCACTTAACCTAATCACCTTGGGGTTCGTCCATATTATTGAAAATGACAGGATTTCCTTCTTTTTAAATATAAATAACGAGTAGAAATGAGGGCCAGGAGGTCTGGTCGATGGTTGGAGGCTTGCCACAAGTCGTGGGGTGAGGGAAGTTAGGACAGAGATGAGAACTCTATGACAGTGGTATCTGGAATGGATCACTCTGGACAAGAACTGAATGCTGGAAGTAGGTAAAGGGATCTACATGATCATCTTTCAGGACCTGTATTGCAAACTCTAATGCCATGAGGAAAAAGAGAGAGAATGCAAGAGTGGGCAGAGTGAAGAAAATAGCCTGCAAGAGAGGCTGATGGGGAGGGAGGGGCAGCCAAGGATGGTGAGAGGAAAACTAGGAACACTGGTGGTGGTACAATGGTTACCCGACGGGTGTTGGCACGAGCATTGGAACATTAAAACCCAATAACAAACAACTTTGTAACTGTGTTTCTCACAGTGATTCAATGAAAAAGAAGAAAAGAGGAGGATTAATAATGAATATTTTTTTATTTCCTGTTAGTTAAGTACCAGGCAGTGCAAATTCTAGTGAAATTAGTGATCTAGTGAAATTTCTAGTGAAATTAGGATCTCTTTTCTTCTGACTTCAAGGACTATATTCTAAATTTCAGCAATCAATTAGACCTGTTTGTTTCTCCTTAAAAGTATATGTAGGTACTACTTTAAACACAGCAAACTTAAGAAACAGTCTTGGAGGTAGACCAAACAGTAATTCACAATTTGGATGTTAAATGAACTCTGTGATCCTCAAAGATGTATACCTGATGAGTGTTTTATAAGGTAAAAAGGTAAAAAAAGATGATGAGTATTTTATAATATTTTTATATTTTATCTAAGTAGCAATTTATCTTATAATGCATAAAGCTTCACTAAAAAAATGTCTTATATGGTATTGTTTATATGCTAAAGAAAAAATGGTTTAATTATAAGACACTTTTCTGTGCTGTATTTTAATTTTATGCTTATAAATAGAAACAAGAATGATTGACTTAATGAATTAGGATCCTTTGCAAGTTACACCTTAATGAATCTACAAATGATGCCAAATTAATGAACTTATTTTAAGTTATTTAGCAATTTATCCCCATTATATTTATAATTTAGTATTTAGTAATTTTGGTCTTCACACATTTTTGCAAAGATATACTTTCTTGTGAGTCCAAAATTCCACATCTGTTAATTCTTAATTAGTAAAACTTCAATAAGTGAGAATTGACTGTAAATGAGAAAATCATCAGCTTGCTTATTAACAGCCATTTCTTCTACTAGGCAAATAAGTGGAGTGCCTTTTCAAAAAAGGCAGTTTTGTTGGAAACCTAAAACAGATTTTAATGCCCTGTCCTTAAATATTTGTCTAGGTTGCTAATTATGCATTTTGGCTATTTCAATTTTTTTTGTCAATTTTTTGTTACAGTTAATATCTCAATACCTAATGATACCACATTGGCTCCCGAGGAGTTGCCAAGTATTCCTTCTATTGACATGGTAAGTGACTTAACATTTCAAACCACTTTGTGTTGTGATCTCTAATTATAATATTCATGTGCTCTAATTATAATATTCAGACTATCATGTCCCCTACCCTTCAGCAATCTTAGCATTAGCACATATGTAATTGTCAATAATAGTGAAGAGACCAGAAAAGCACTTCCTGCCCTAGTCAGTTTGATTGTTTTGTTTTGTTTCGTTTTCTGTTTAAGTTAGAGTGAATATCTGCAGCATGGTTTTTAAATATTCTTGGGAGCGTAGCTAATATTTCTTATTGACTTACCTTGAACTATTTTTCACAAGGGAAAGTAAGAGAAGCCGAACAAATGAGGGCGTGGTCGCCTCTGTTTCTAATATAAGAATTCTACCAAATGGGGCTGTGTTTCTTTCACTAAGCATAATTGTAGCAGGACCTTTCTCTTGTCACTTAGAAAGACTCTGCCTCTGTCACATGATATCCTTTCCCATGACTTGTAACCAAGGATCTTTAAGAAAGTGGAGCTGAGCTTTAAAAAATGAGCTATTTTGCATGGAAAGTCACACACTGGAAGGGGACTTTTGTGTTGGCCAAAAAGGGGAAAGTGCTTTTTCAGACTCCTAATTGTGTTCCTTCTACACTGGATATGGAATCTTACCAAAGAATATCAATCTCTCAGTTGTAAAGACAGGAGCCATAATACTTTGTATTGACAGAGTGCCCATCTCTCAGGAAACCAGACTACTTCTGCAGATATTATATTATATAATGAGTACCCACAACATCCCTTTCAAAAATGATGCTTTGTATCTTTCTTGGACAACTCTCACTTGACCCTGTTTCACTCTGTTTTCATGTTCTTTGGCTCTTTTGACTTCTCTCAGTACTATTAATGTTTTTCTCTGACTTTCCTCAAACTTTGCTTCTCTATTTCCTTTATATTTCATTTATCTACATGTCCCTGATTATGTGTATGAAAAAATGATATATATATATGTATTCATAAATATTTTAAGGGCCACATTTTAAGAAGGGATTTTCAATCTTTGAATCATACTCTTACTTCCAAAATGGTTTTGACTGAAATACATAGAAAATACTTCCTGCTGTATTTTAAATAATTTTAATTAAAATATTAAAAAATTAGATGTACATTAGACTGCTGATTTAAATGAACATTAATAAAACACTTCCTTAGACATATTTTTATAAAGATTATTTCCTAACTTGATTATTTTTATAACTGTTCAATGAAAGACTTATAATTAATAAATCCTAAGTCCCATCTTTGGGCCAGTTGTGGAGACTTCAGAAAATGAAATAAAATTAGAATATAATGTCACTTAGTCTCTGGAAACAACTGGAGCTATGGTGACTTCTTGCTGAATGATGAGAAAAACATACCTGGATGACAATTTAACGACTGTGTTTTATAGCCTCTGATAGAGATCAGATGTTTTACATAGATTATCCTTATTATAAATTTCAATATGTGTAATAATCATTAGCATGGCATAATTATTAGCCAGGTATAATTCTGTTTAATTTTTAAAAGAGTATGATAACTGAGACATCAGAAGGTAAATATTTAAGTTAGTAAAACAAGGATTAAATTGTGTTTGAGTGGTCGCAAGATTTGTGATATGCTTTACAAATTAATGCTTCGAACTTTTCGAATTTAAATATTTACTCTTTCATTTTCTCTGAGTGTTCTTTATTTCAGAGTAACAGTACTTCATGTGTGCACTAATCATACCTTAATTTAAGTGTAATTTCTATATTTATTACCTCTAGAGAAAAATTCAGACAAATATGTATATGTGCATACGTATTTATATAATTTGTCTAATTACAAAGGGAAATTTTTATTCTACTCTTCGTATCTTTTTCTATCCATACAAACTCCCTATGTAATCACAACTTAATTTAAGTGTAATTTCTATATTTATTCCTCTAGAGAAAAATTCAAACAAATATATATGTGTGCATGTGTATGATTACAAAGGGAAACTTTTATTCTACTCTTCATATCTTTTTCTTATCCATGCAGACTCCCTATATATATTATACATACACACAAGATCTGCACAAAATTCATATCACACAGTGTATATAGGTAGATGATCTAGTTCTAAATATTAAAGAGGTAATATACTTTATTGTCAACAGTAATTAGTGTTGTTTATTTTCTCTTCAGCTTTTTACATTATTTGTTCATGATCTTTACCATAACTTTGTATTGTTATGTTACCTATTTTATAGATAAAGTTTAACTCACTTTTGAATCCCCAGTATGTCGTAAAATTACTATTTGAACTTGGGATTTTCTAACTCCCATATATGTTTTCGAAGAAACTAATATAGTGTCCCTTGTCAAAGGCTTTAAAGAGAGTGAGTTCTTATCATATTGGCCTCAGCAAATGCAGAACACTATTCCTTATCAGACAGTGGAACTTTCTCAGTTTCTCATTTGTGAAATAGTGATTCAGATAGAATCTACCTCAATGGTGCCATAAGGATCAAATTGATCTATAGCCAAGACTGCTTAGTGACTTTCCTGAATATAGCTCTCAATTAAAGCAACTTAGAATAATCATTCTAATCAAGTATTAGTATCATTTCATAAGGTCATACTTCTTCCATAACTCAGACTGGTGGAGAGACCGGCCACTCAAAGGTCTTGAATTCAGTATCTGCCTTCTCTGATGCTCTGAACATGTTCTATTTGGACAGTCACCAGGGCTACTTCATTTTCTTCTCTCCCTTTTAGGCATAATTAGATCATGAAAGAAGATGCTATATTAAAAAAAAAGTGACATGCAACCTTTGAGCGTCCCTGAGAACATTCTTTCAGAGGAAGGAAGGCCTTTCCCCTTCAACCTCATTAACATGAAGACAGGCTTTTTTCTTAGTAGCAGGATTGTGTTTTCTGGGTAAAAGAGTGTGCATGTGTGTGTGGGGGGGGGGGGAGGTGATGGTCATTAGAATGTGTAGGCAGTGATTAGAACTCTAGAATAACCTTATCTTAAGATAAAAAGACAAGCTTCTCATTCCCACTTTTGTTGGCATCGCTTCATTGTTGTTTCTCTGTATCTTCATCAGTTTTCCTGTAGGTTTCTTACTATATCCCTTCAGTCTGCAAATGAAGTTCTTTAAAATATCCACATAAAATTTTGAAATTAATAACACATTTCCCATAGAGTATTTACGCGACAAACTGTGAGACCCGCTTCTTCCCCCTTACCAGCCTGCAGACCGAGAGAACAGATTTAAAAATCTAATGTCAGTCTCTTCAGAGGACATAATTGAGTGAATCCAGTTAGTATTTGTTCTGCTTATTTATTTATTTTGTGCCATGTCCGGCGATGTTCAGGACCTACTCCTGGTCTGTGCTCAGGAATCACTCCTGGCAGGGCTTGTAGGGTTATATGTGATGTTGGGAGTTCAACCCTGGTTGGCTACACATAAGGCAAGCACCCTGCCCACTTGCACACTACCCACTACCTACCCCCTATTCACAAAATATTAATTTTTATTTTTTAAATTAGAATACACAGTTCTTGTATTCACTCTCGACAGTCCTAAGCTCCGTGTAACTACTACATGAAACAAGATTGAGGACTTAGTTCCATCATTCCAGAAAGTCTTCAGCATCTTGTTAAATGCCTCAGCATTCTGATTCTTGGGAGATTTTTTTTTTTTGTCCTACTAGTTCTGTCTTCAGAGGGCTGAGAGATACCTTAGCCCTTTTAGAATGTTTCAGCCTTCCATCAGGAAATTGGCTTTCTGGCATTTGGTGAGGATTCTGGGTGTCTAGATTGAGGGCTGAGGGGAAGGGGAGGTTCAGGGCTTTGGGATGGAGGGACTACCCTGGCTGTGCTCGGGGGTCACTCTGGGATCAGAAGCTTGTGTTTGACACCTGCAAGGAAAACACCTTACCCACTATATTCTCTGGCCCTGGTGGTCTCCTCCCTTCCCCCGCCCAGTTTTTCTGATGCATATATTTTCATTCAGCAAAAATCAAAGAAAGTTTGATTGATAACTGCAAGCTCAGTCTATGTTTAGGCCACCTCAGAACTCTAAATGTGTCACCCTAGTGTACATACAGTCTATATATGACTATTAAAAACCCATTGAGAATGTGGGAGGTGGGAGTGTGGGTGTGTGTCACAGAGCATACACCATGCACACTTGAGGCCCAGGATTGGTCACTGGAGCTCAGCAGCCCCCAACGCCCAGCCGGTACTGGCAGGTGTGGTACCTGAAACAATAAACAATTCATTGACAATTCAACTTACTACTCTGTCTTGGTGAATTTACCTTCACTTGCCATTTTTTTCAAGGATGGACAACTATGGGCTTTACTTTCCTATGAAAGTCTTGTAACTTTGGGGAATTTATTTATTTTTCGATCTAATCCACAATCTACTATCTCTGGTGGATATTTTTTATTATAATTTTTAAAAAGTATTTAGACACCGGGCTGGAGCTATAGCACAGCGGTAGGGCATTTGCCTTGAGCGCGGCCGACCCGGCCAAGCTGGGTTTGATTCCTTCACCCCTCTTAGAGAGCCCGGCAAGCTACCGAGAGTATCTCACCTGCACAGCAAAGCCTGGCAAGCTACCTGTGACATATTCGATATGCCAAACACAGTAACAAGTCTCACAATGGAGATGTTACTGGGCCCACTCGAGCAAATTGATAAACGGGAGGACAGTGACAGTGATTTAGACACTGTGATTGATATAGTTGTTTACAGGAGGTTTTCAGGCTCACAGTGTTGCCTCCAATTCCAGCACCCCATATCCCCTTGTTTCTATCAGTTATGCCAGATTTTCTCCCAGCACCATCCCCCCACCAACCCTTTTACTGTTGCATTTTTATGTTTAATTGTTGTGGTTGGAGCCCATGGTTATGGTACATGGGAAACTAATGGTTTTGATATTAATGTGGAGAGACACATAAATTATGACTTGATAGTTTATCCACATTAGTTTTAGGTTGGGAGTAACAGTTTCC